CTTGTGAATGATATTGGTGGAAGTAATAGGGGTAGTGTAAAAATAGGAAGAAAGAGAGATAAAGATGAGTTATGGAAATAAAAACTCGTGACTTTACATGCATAGATGACCATGGGCAACATTTAGTTATGAATCATAATAAAAAGTAATGATCAGAGTCATGGTGGTTGTGACCAGAGCAAAACGTGACACTGGGTCACTGTGGCCGTAGCCGAAGTGAAACGTGTGGCACTGGGTCACTGGGGTCGAAGCCGAAGTAAAATATGTGACACTGGGTCACTGTGGCCGGAACCGAAGTAAACGTGTGACACTGTGTCACTGTGGCCAGAGCCGAAGTAAAATATGTGACACTGGGTCACTGTGGCCGGAGCCGAAGTAAACGCGTGACGCTGTGTCACTGTGGTCGGAGCTGAAGTAAAATATGTGACACTGTGGTCGGAGCTGAAGTAAAATATGTGACACTGTGTCACTGTGGCCGGAGCTGAAGTAAACGTGTGACGCTATGTCACTGTGGCCGGAGCCGAAGTAAAATATGTGACACTGTGTCACTGTGGCCGGAGCCGAAGTAAACGTGTGACGCTGTGTCACTGTGACCGGAGCCGAAGTAAAATATGTGACACTGTGTCACTGTGGCCGGAGCCGAAGTAAAATATGTGACACTGTGTCACTGTGGCCGGAGCCGAAGTAAAACACCTGAGCAAAATTTAAATTGGACAAAAGTGAGCAAGTGTGTTGAAATGGGCTTAAGCGGGCCCATCTGAGAAGTTTGTCGAAGAGGTGGTGCGCGATGCGACAGTCGTCCTTTGAATGGCGTGCGTAATAAATGCCGCTATAAAAAGATAAATGCAACAGCCCAACGGGCAGATGTAAAAAACGAACCGTCGAGTTCGAAACGGTACTGTTTGGGGTTAACCCTCAAATCCGAAACGGTGTCTTTGCAGCGGTTAGATGGGTTAATTACAGCCGTTGAGGCGTATTCTGCCTTTGGTATAAAAGGCTACACTTTTGTAAAAGGGGACTTTTTACTCTCGTTATTTTGCTAGTACACCCTTGT